CAAGATTAGTCTCTTTATTGCAAATAGAAAAGAAATGAAACCATAAACACTGGGAAGATTTCTCCATTGCAGAACAAAGAAATCAAAGCCTTTTTAGAAAATTGTACTGCTGGCTTTCAAATCTAATCTTTTTCCTGCCACCTTTCTAAATCAATGAACAACTTGGTGCTTCTCTAGATGGCCATAGAAGGCACCTGATCATTGTTGGCATGATGGTATTTTGTAGTATGAGAACTACTAGTTCCTGCTTCATTAACTTCATTTCTTCCTCCATTCCCCATTAAAGAATTTTGGTAAATCAGAAGAAGTTTGTTTTTAACTTGAGTGCCATCAAATTTATTTTATTTATTTTTATTATTAAATTTGTTAGCTGCCCATCCCACGACAAGGGGACTCTAAGTGGTTTACAAAATTAAAAATCATAGAAAGCACAACATAACAAGAATGACAATAAGGGGGAAACAAACCCCAGCATTTTTTAATTGCATGTACTGGGTTTCAAAGTCTTCAGCCATCAGGCTTGTCCTTGAGAGAGCAAGAACTAATAAAAAGTGCTGGACAGTGGTAAAAGTACATAAGGTAAGGTAAAGGTTTCCCTTGTACATATGTGCTAGTCATTCCTGCCTCTAGGGGAAGGTGCTAATCTCTGTTTTAAAGCCGAAGAGCCAGCGCTGTCCAAAGACGTCTCCGTGATCATGTGGCCGGCATGACTAAATGCCGAAGGTGCACGGAACGCTGTTACCTTCCCACCAAAGATGGTTCCTATTTTTCTACTTGAATTTTTTACGTGCTTTCAAACTGCTAGGTTGGCAGAAGCTGGGACAAGTAACAGGAACTCACTCCGTTACGCAGCACTAGAGATTCAAACCATCGAACTGCCGACCTTTCTGATTGATAAGCTCAGCATCTTAGCCATCGAGCCACCACATCCCTTCCAAAGTATATAGTAACATATTCAGTACTTTTATAAAGCACAAGAATTAGAGACTGTGGTAAAAACCATCCACTATAATTTTAAACTATAAATAAGAAAAACTCAATTTTCCTTCATATATATATATATATATTTCCTTAAGTGAAAAGAAAAATTGGAAATGTCAAGTAATTTCATAAGGAGACACAGGCTTATGACATGCATACAGGACTAAGTCATAAAAATTATGAATTAAGTCAAGCACATCCCTCCATTTTATGTGCAAATCAGACAAATATGGATAACACCACTAAAAGAATTCTGACTTAACATTTGTGCTGAATGCAACTATGTCCTGCGTCTCTCTGAATTAGGAAAAAATCAGTAAAGTGAAGGTCTAGTCCTAATCCACATGGAACAGTCCTGAATTTTTCCAAAACAGATTACAGCTATGGCCAAAGCCAGTGTCTATATACATTCCAAAGTGCTTTACAGCACCTTGGAAGGATGGAAGGCTGAGTCAACCTTTATCTAGTGGGGATTGAACTCCTGGCTGTGGATAGTTATCTTGTGACATTGCATTCTGACCACTGAGCCACTACAGCTCCTCGATCCGCGATGGCAAACCTATGGTACGTGTGCCAGAGGTGGCACGCAGAGCCCCCTCTGTGAGCACGCGCACGTCACCAGATGCTCTATGCATACTGGCCAGCTATTTTTACACGCCAGAGCGCCAGAAACGTGAAGACCAGTTGGCCGGCGTGCAAATGCGCACCAACCAGGTGGTCTTCAGGTTTTCAGTGCTCCAGCACGCACAGTCCATTTTGGGCACTCAGTGCCGAAAAGGTTCGCCATCACTGTCTTAGATACTAGATTGGGATTATGGAGAACCATGTTCAGGGCTTATTTTAGCCATGGAAGTTAACTGGGCACTTTGGACTATTTAACCCCAACAACAGAATTATTGCAGAGGAGAAAAATATAGGGTTGGTACATATACTGTGGTAAGCTCCTAGAAGAAAGGCTTGATACAAATCTATAGATTAAACGAATCAAATTAAATGCTCAGTCCTAGTAAGAATCACCATTAAATAACCACATCAGTATTTTTTTTTACTTTTTAACATAGCCCAGAATAGGACTTTTGGATATGCTCATATTTTTATGAACTTTTCAATTTAATCAAACTATTTTACCAAAAAGGTACATTTTCCCATCAGAATGTGATAAAAAATATTTTCAAAATATTCCCCAAAATTTTGTTAAATTTGCAGGATACTGCCTCATCAATATAAAATGACCTATTCTAGCTGATGAAAGAATGTGAATGTTATAGTTTTGATATTTATTATGGCAAATTATTTACATGTCTTCGCTCATTTCCACCCCCACCTCCTAATAATAGCAATAGCAATAGCAATAGCAGTAGACTTATATACCGCTTCATAGGCCTTTCAGGCCTCTCTAAGCGGTTTACAGAGAGTCAGCAT